AGTACTTTCTTGAATTGTTTATATTTCTTTTTAGAGCATTTAAGGGACTTTGTTCGATATGTCTATTGCCTGAAATTTCGTTATTGAAACCTGATTGACGCGAAGTCTTTATTTTCACTTCGGAAAATTTTATACGCTTTGATTCAAGAATTCATAATTGTGACCAAATTAACGGTTAAAGACAAATAAGCTAGAAATGTGACCAAGCAAGTGTTTACTAAAATTAACGCTTGATCAAGTGTCCATAGAATGGATAGTGGAGAATGAAAAAATTCTCCTTTTCCCATTTCTGGGTCCCAATTTCGGAGCGGATTGTTTTATGCAAGGCATCTTTTTGCAGCATGTACATATTTCTTATTTATTTCTTTAGTAAGTTCTTTGGTCTTGATTTATGGGCCCATCTGTATGTTGTATGTATTTCGAAAATTCCGAGTAGACACAGCATTAGTCCCATTGAGATACTTCAAGGATGCTCAGTTTTCACTAATTCATTAGTTTACGAATGATATTTTATTTTATATAGCTAAGAATTCATCCCAGCACTGAACTTAACCATTTATCACATTTTTTAACTTTAAACGGCTTACTGGCGATATTAGTGCTTTCTTTCTAAATAAATAGAGTTTTCTAGACAAATGATAGACTCTCCTCTTAAAACTTCGCGCTAAATATAGACCGCAACCTACTTTGTACCCATCATGACCCTTTAGTTATCTACAGTTGAATTTTCCCTGAAAATCGGATTTCCTATGCATCAGTGGGAGCTTATCTTCTCTGTTCTGAAGGTAGAGGCTACTGTTTCAACTTAGCTTAGACCAAAGGATTTTAATAAAATTTGTTTTTGTGACACAAAGTTTGATATATTAATAAAATTTAATTATTTTTAGACTAATTTCCCTGGCGTTGTTTTCCCAATAGTTTTTAAGCGGTTTTACAACCTCGTGTTGAGTCGCGAATTGCGGGCAATTTTCGGCAATCGATCGCTTTAATTTGTTGAGTTATTGTTGGTAGCGTTCTCCATTAATGGTTTCACCCGGTTCTATATGCTCATAACTAGTCGGATCATAACCTTGGTGTTATGGATATTTGTTGTCCAGGTTTCACAAATGATTTGTTTAAGGGTTGTCACAGCTCCTCATCTTCAAACATTCCATAGAACTTTCTTCATCTTCTAATCCAAAATTACCACTTCTAAATCCTGCAAGCTTTTTTTTGGCACGTTCGCTAAGCGTGAGAATGTTCACCATAAACTTGCACTAGAATACGATGTCTTTTGGCTGAGGAGATTTCATATTCAAATATTGAAGAAGAACTCCCCTCAACAAAATTGAGTGAAAGAAATTATTTTTGAAAGTTCAAAATTAAATGATTGACATACATATACCGAGAAAGAGGCACAAGGACATTAGTTTCCAACGCATATTCGGAATATTGGAACAATAGAATAATAATCAAGTTACGTCATCTCTTGGCCAACCTCGCGATTATAGTTATAGATCTAATATAGATCGGTTAATTAAAAATTTTAAAAGAGCGTAATCACAAGAAAAGCCGTCAGAATATTTTATTTCAAAACTGTGAATTATTCATTGACCTTGGAATATTCTCATATTATATTAAGGATTTCCAGCCATTTTGTCACTTATTTTATGAATTTAATTTTAACTATCAAACAGCTCAACCCGCCTCACTCTTCATTGAAATTACTACATCAAAAGCCTTAGCTCAAAAGTTCAAAGTTTTCTACTTTGTTTAAGTTGAATTTATGAAGAAATTTTGTTGGTGTAAAATAATTGCGACTGATTGGTGAACTGGCGTTTATCGTAAGCGAAGCAAATATGCTGCGGGTAAGCCAACAAGCACGCTTAGAGTATGACTACCAGCATAATTTCATAAATTTATAGTACCAGTAAAGTAACAATTAAACAGTTCAAACATTTGCCAAATGCCGCTCACTGGGCAACAACGATTAATGAGATTATGTCAAAGCCAATATGGATGACTGTCCTTTGACCGATTGATTAGAACTTTTTCCTTCTCTTTTAAGTGAAACGTTTTAAGAAGACGCAGAAAGTAGCATCTATATATACAACTATAAATTGAAGGCAAGCATGGATTGTTGACATCTCAAATTCTAGCGGCATATATTGCGTATACATCTTCATAAGCGCAACATTCTAGGTTTTTTTATTTCAAAAATATAAAACTTTAAAATATTGAAATAAAAAAACAGCTAAATATTTGAACTATTATGATTCTCGAGATGTGCTTTGAAATTCAAGTAAAAGTAGAAAATTGTGTGCTTTTTACATTTGAATATAAAAATACAAACAGGAATAAGTTAACTTTTCTATTTAGACGGTTGCAAAAGTTCTGCACTATCGAGTTGTGTTAATGTCCCCTTTATATCGAGTAAATACAGTTTGTTGGATGTTTTGTGCCTGAAAGGTATTTGCGTCTTGCACAGGTAAAGTGATGTTTGATTTGAAGTCTCAGTCTAATTAGATTTACTAAAAAAATAAATATAACTAACCGAGGGAAAACTCGCATTTACTCAAAAGAAGTCTTAAGTGAAAGTGGAAGTTAAAATATGTTATTTATATATAAAAATCATCGAAAAATATCTTTTTTACTTGATATTTTGTAGGCAAATATAATACTCTGTCCATTTGGTTTTTGCTTCTATGATCTGCTTGTTTAATAATTTATGAGAAATAGAGTTTATTAAAACTATTTTTGAAAAATCTATCTACGAGTATAATTTTAAATACCATAGCAATTGAGCTTTTGCTCACTACATTTCCAAAATTGGTTTCGAAGTGGTCGATCGTTGGTGGTTTATCTGCTGGTGAACATACTGTTGGTTTGGGTCCTACTTTTACTAATAGTAATATACTTGTATTCTTATGGTTTCATACCCTCTATACAATATCTGCGACAATAAACAGGTTGATATTATTATAAAATTCGGCACTTAAAGATCGCTGCAAGACAGTGAAAGTTTAATTATTCACGTCAAACGTCAGTAGTTTCGTAGTCAATGTAAGATGTTATTGTAGTCTGTATTGTAGACTTGAATTTCGAGCAATTTTTGGAAATTAATATTTTTCTTCTCATTTTTATATTCATATTTCAAGAATACACAAATTTAATAATAAAATTTACATAGAGTTATGCGTTTTTGAAAAAGCGGGGGAGGGGAAAGATCAGGGTTTTGTCGTCACAATTTATACCCTTGTGGTCATTCTTGAACCACAAATAATATGGTTATTCTACGAACCAACAAAACTAAATCAAAAATGTTAATTCTCTAAAATGGGAATATTCATATATAAAGGCCATTTTTTCACTATTTTTTTAATTTCCTCGAATTTTTGAAATATATCACAAATTATTTTTTTTAATTTCGTCGAAATATTTAAAAATATTACAAATTAGAAGTTTTCAGTTTATGTCGCATCACACTATAGAAAGATATCCAAAAAATATTAATGTCAAAATTCAAATAAATGGACCAATAGACATAGACCTTGAAATATCGTAACGACCGCATCAAATAATAGACATTTAGATGACTATATCTCTGGAAATATTGTGGGGAACACTTAGTGTGGCAGCCTAAAAATATCGATTTTTGGGAATTAAAAAAAGGTATCGATTGTTTTAAAATATTGGGTGCTATTTATACGTATTGCAAAAATTCACAGTAAAATTTTTAAAGAAAAAAATTTACTATTCTTAGAGTTACGCGCGATCTATAACTGCTCTAAAAAGGGTTCTACACCGCTGTAGTAGTTCCTGTCTGCTCCAAGGATAAATCATAAAAAAAAATACTTACTAAAAGACATTGTCCCTACAATAATCTACGGCCGAAAAAAAAAAAATTAAAAGAGTTGAAAAAATTATTTTGTTTAAAAATAATGTTTGAATTTTACTCAAAATGTTGATAATTTTTTGCCAACATTCGGCTTTTGATCTGGCATTTTTGAAACTGGGAGATCATTGTGTGGAGAACTATATACGAGTACAAAGGATGCAATTAAAATTTAATAGTGTTCGGATCATTTATCTCAGAATATACTCAAGTAAATTTGTTTGATATCGATTTAAAATGTAAATATGTTATTTTGAAAGGTATAATCTATCGAAATATAGAAAAATATATATCCTTTTTAATTTCACACGAGCTATGATGGCTAAGTAATAATTTTTTTAAATAATTTAAGTGACATTTTTATATATGTGAACTATTGAAACATAAACAAGAATTTCGTTTTTTTTTTTTTTTTCTATACAAGAGTAATCCCTTTAAAAAAATTATGGTCCCCTACGTATGGATACATTAAAGGGTATCTTTTAGTGGTGTTAACAGTGCCTGAAAGATCTCTTCAGAATGGTGCGCGCTTCAAATATTTGCCGTTAAGCTTCATTGTTGAAGAAGATTCGGCAAAAATGTAAACGTAAGTAAGTAAAATTTCCTTTGTGAAAGTTGCTTGACATAAATATGAAACATAGTGGTTTACTTTGACAGCTGGTGTAAAAGCTATCCATCAATATTCGGCAATAATTTAGTAAAATACTTTTTTCTGCGTTATTTCATTGAGTTTCGTGGAATAGTCTATTCGTTTTAACGCAGTTTTTTAAACTTCCACTTAACTTTGGGATAGAAAATAAAATGCTTGAATTTTTTTTTCACAACCACATTTGAGTTCGAACTGAATTCACACCGCTACAGCAGTTCGTACTTCCACCTTTTTGGAGCGGAACATTTGAGTTTATCTGCGGCAATATATAATTTTTTAAATTGAACATTAAGCGTCTAATGACACACTCAAAAAGCCACCATTAAACGCTATAAATTTCAGCAATAAATTCAAGCGTAGATTATACGTTTCTACAAAGCGAAAAGCAGAAAAATTCAATCAAGTGAAACACAAGTCCATTTTATTGCAAAGGAACAAATAGTCATTATTATTATTAACATTACAGCGAGAACTCACCACCAAATCAAAAGCAATGGTCGTCTTAATATGAACATTTTTTCTCAAACTTTCTGCAAGCCTCTTAAGTCGAATCACTTAAATTGGATTTCCACTATTGACTGGCTTTGATTTGAGTAGTTGATGTCGATGATTTTGAAAATTCGAAGCAGAAGCAAAAAAAAAGTGGAAGCAATAAGCGTATCGACGCACAAAATCCGCTGTTGCCATCCAAAACACACACGTACGGCCGATCACCAGCCAGCTTGCCACAGTGCACTGACCGTCAAATCTAAGCGCACTTAATGCCTTAAAAGCCCAGCAACTCGTTTGCGACTATTTGGCCGCTTGCCGGAAATTTCGCGCGCCAAACCGAAAAGTACCGTAATGCCGATGCGCCAATAGAAATATATATTTCGCGTGACTGCGACGTATACGAGTGACTTATTTTCACGCAAATAGCCGCAATGCAACTGACTGAGCGACCGCCTGCTTGGCTGTGTTATGGCCACAATGGCAATGGGTGCTAGGCATATACAAATTACGGCTGGCAATAACTACATGCATAGTGTTGGCATAGAAAAGAAATTGCGCGCAATGCCGAAGCGAACTGCTTCGACGTTAACGAAGTGCTGGCAGCGTTCAACGACTGAGCTAAACGTTGTGTTTCGAGCGGAAGCGTTGCCGGTGTGTTGAGTTTGGCCGCCATACTGACTTGCCTGCGCTGCGAACGCATTTTGGCGCCTAAAAGTAGGCAACACTTGTGAGTTACTTACCGCTTTCCCTGGCTCTCTTGCCTTGCATTGCATTCTTATGTTGGCTTTGCGTTGTTGCTGCTGCCGCCAAGTTAAGCTTACGTGTGCGTGTTCATGAGTTTTTCTACTTGCTTCTTCTTTTTCTCTTGCTTTTCTTCTTCATCTCGAAGTTGTGTTGTTCTATTTGTATAATCCGCAATTTTCTAGGCGACATGCGCACTATGAAGTCACGTGCAGTTGGCACCAACACTTATGCACATTTCTTATATTTGTTTACATATGTACATATGTTTGTGTGCATGTAATATGTGTGTATGTTCCACACTATTTGTGTATATATTTGCGCTGCATTCGCATTGTAAATAGATGGCGGGCAAATTTCATTCATGATTGATTCGGCACAAACATACCACCGGTTTCCTTTTTGACTACTACACATATAGATATACATATATGTTCATATATATGCACCCACATACACACTAATTGTGTCTATTTTACATAGTGAAGCTACCAAAGCGTCAGTCAATAAGTAGATTGAATAATTTAATGCACATACATTGCAAGGAAAATTCATACATACACTTACATACATACAACCAAAGCAGCTAGAGTGCCAGTTGTAACGGTGTCAGCTGCTGTTCTTACCAACAGTTAACAAGCACTTGCACATTGTTGCTACCTTTGTTGACATTGTTGTTTTATTCTAGTTTGTTTTGTTTGAGTTTCTTATTCTTCCATTATAGTGGTTATCTTCGCGTCTTCGTCGCCTACTTCGGCTGTTCGCTTAGCTTTTGTTGCTTTTAAGTAGCATTTGCTTTCAGCTATTGTTAGTCGCCTTGTTGCTGTTGTTGTTGTTGTATTCACTAAATATTGCGTTTGGTATTTGCATAGCAAATTACTCATTTGTTGTTTGTTGTGAGCACATATCCTTGTTAGTACACGCACACATACGCATGCATACATACATGTACAGTAGGGTGGGTAAAAAAAATTCGTAGTGAATTCAAGTGTAGTGGTTGTGTTTTTAGTGCGGTCCTGGAGTTTTTTCTTACATTTCCTAGTTCTTCCACACCAACTAAAGTGATTTCTTCCCTGTGACTTTCGGAAACCGAAACAATCTAAACGGACACTAAATCTATAGAAGATAAGTACAATTTGTATTTTCAAATTAAAAATCATTTGCACTTACTTGTATATTTTCCGTTGCAAATTTTTGCTGAAAAGTAAATTATTTTTCCCCTGACACAGCAATCCAAAAAAAACGCATGCTTAATTTGCTCTGCCGTTTTGTTTTGGTCAATCAGCTGTTTCCCTTTTTGTTTCTCCTTTTTATATTCCCAAGGTTTTAGGGGCAGTAACTGAACTGACTTACTGTCAGGTGTTTCCCACTATTTTCTCATTGAGGGATGACCTCTGACAACGGTAGTGGGTGCACCCCAGAGAATCCATTTATAAAGAACTCGAAAGAGAACGCCTCCTATTGGGAAAAATTAGTTATCCGCCGTTGCTGGATCAACAATAATATGTGAACATGCTAACCAGGCAATAAGAATTGCCAAACCTGCTGTCTGGCCAAAGGCATATAAGTCAAGCAATGCGCGATTTAGTTAGCAACATAGTGATGCTACATGCCAAGGCGGAAAAAAGGAGAAAACCTACCCAAAAGGACTATGGTAGGAAAGGCATCCCAAGTATCTTACATGGGTAAAAATGTGAATACTCCAAAAAGGCTGCGTGAGACTTTAGGCTTTTTACTACCAACAAAAAAGCCAAAAAATATAAGAAACATAAATAAAACAGCGCAACCTACTAACAAAGAGGCAGCTAAATTAATTCAAGGCGATACTACGGTTAAACCCGGCACAGGCGAAACATGGGTGGACGTTGTTAAGAAAAGAAGGCCGATCGAAAAGAAAATAAGATCAAGGCCAAACGCCATCATACTCACCAAAAAGGATGGTGCATTGTACGTCGACATCCTCCGGAAAATAAAAGGTGACAGCGGAATAGAGGAACTGGGCACAAACGTCACTTACATAACATAAACATTGAAGGGAGACCTGCTTTTGGAACTTAAAAATCAAGCGGAAAAGAGACCTGAAGCGTTTCAAAGCGCTTTAGAGGGAGTGATCGGTGAAATGGCAGTGATACAGCCCAAACCCCACAACGTTACAATTATGTGCAAGGATTTGGATGGACTCCTGAAGAAATTTGTGAGGCCCTGCAAAAGGAGTGCAGGATACAGAATATAGGGAAAATAAACATTAAAAGTATGCGAAAGACCCGAAGCGGTGCCAAGGCTGCGCTTAAGGTAGGCAAAGTTAAGGTCGGGTGGTCTATCTGCCGCCTCCAGGAATATTCTCCTACGCCCCGTTGCTTTAGGGGTTTCCACCTGGGGCACATGGCGCGCAAATGCTGCAACCCCGTAGACAGGTCGTCGCTATGCACACGTTGTGGCGCCGGCGGACATGTAGCAAAGTCATGCACCAACGACCCAAGCTGCATGCTTTGCAAAGGTGCACACTCAGTATTGAGTACGACTTGCCCCAAGTATTTGGAGATGGTAAAGTCGGTAGGAAAATGAGGATACTACAGCTTAATTTAAACCACTGTGCTGCAGCACAAGATATGCTTAAACAGACATTATTTGAGGAAAGCATTGATGTCGCCTTACTAAGCGAGCAATACTCCCAGCGTTCGGAAAGCACCTGGATCACAGACATATCTTCTTCTAAAGTCAGCCATTGCCCGCAGCAAAAGGAACCGTTTTGAAAAGCTCTGTAAAGAAGCAAACGTAGACCCTTGGGGTAAGGCGTCCAAAATATGCATGTCAAAATTCAAAAACAAGACACAGCAACCCAAAAGCGCATCTTTTATAAAGAATATTGTAGAAACATTATTCCCAAAACACCATCTGATTTCCTATGCTAAATAGCGGGAAAAATTAAAAGCAGTGCCTGGTATAGATGGTGCAAAGTGCTTGGTATAGATGGTATACCAAACAGGGCCTCAAAAGAAGCCATGAATTTAAAACCACATGTATTCGCAAAAATGTATAATGCGAGCTTAAAGGAAGGTATATTCCCCGACTCATGGAAAGTACAGCGATTGGTTCTACTTCCCAAACCATATCAGTCTCCGGAGGAAGCCTCATCACATCGACCTCTGTGCATGTTTGACACGATTGGCAAAGTGTACGAAAGAATAGTAAGAAACCGCTTGGAGTTTGCAATCCAGAAAGCCGGCGGATTATCAGAAAGACAATACGGCTTTATGAAAAAGAGGTCCACTATTGACGCACTAAACAATGTCGTTGATACTGCGAAATGCACAGTAAGTGGAAAAAGGTGGAGAGGGGCGGGAGTAAAAAATATTGCGCGTTGATCACCCTGGATGTGAAGAATGCCTTCAACTCTGCAAAATGGACAAACATAATCAAGGCTCTATATGAAATACACGCTCCTCAATATCTTATAAACATTATTATAAGTTATTTTGAAAACAGACGACTAATAATCAACACCGATGAAGGCACCAAGAGCTACTCTATTTCGAGTGGGGTACCGCAAGGCTAGGTTTTAGACCCCATTGTATGGAACGTGATGTATGATGGGGTGCTAAGTATAAAACAACCAGAAGCCGAGAAATTAATCGCATACGCGGATGACCTTATTGTAGTAGCAGTGGGTAAACATCTACATAGATGACCTCCGGAGCAAATGCAATGAACGCGTAAACAGTCTGCGGCAATGGTTCTCCTCAAGGAGCCTAGTACTGGCTGAGCACAAGACAGAAGTTCTTCTAATAAGTATTAGGAAAGTGGAGGAAAGGATATCTCTCACCATAGGGGAGTGTGAGATACATCACAGCCACAACTAAAGTACCCGGGAGTAATAATATTTGAGTCTATTAAATTATTATTATTAAATATTTGAATGGCTTAAATTTAAGGAGCACCTAGAATACACCTCGGGTAAAGTATATAAAATCCTCAACGCCTTATCAAGAATGATGGCAAATAAGGGCTGCGTGCGTTCCAGACGGCGAATTTTACTCGCAAAGGTAATAAGATCGGTTATATTATATGCGGCCCCAATATGGAAACAAATAAATAAACACAGTGCACCAGCTGTCGGCACTAAGAATAATCAGTGCTTTCCGAACGATATCCAGCGAGGCTGCTGAAAGCCAGTATGATGCCCATTGACATCCAGGGTGAAGAATTCGCGCGACTATACAAGTTGTCAGCAGAGACAACTAAAGAATCCAAAAAAAAAGAGAGAAACAAAAGCATGACAATGTGGCAGCAACGGTGGCAAACCTAACCCAAAGACGGTGGATACACAAACTCATACCGGACATCCGTTCGTGGATAGACAGCCGACATGGGAACCTGGATTTCCACCTTACCCAAATATTAAGTGGACGTGGGTGCTTTAGAAGCTACCTGTACAGATTCCATCGCGACACTAGTCCGAACTGTCCGACGTGTACAGAGTGCTTAGAAGACTCTGAACATGTATTATTTTACTGCCCTCGCTTTGTAACTATAAGAGAAAAACTTTTTTTTTGCTTGACACTCCGAAAAGACGCCGCAAAGAAAGGTTCTCCAAGTATCAGCTGTTAATTGTAACGGGAAGGCCCTCCGATTTACCATTGCCTTTTTTTCCTATGATCGGATAGAAAGATTCATATCTCGCTTCTAACTACTTATATACATAAAATTTAAAATAAAATAGTCAAATTTTAACCCTTAATATCTTTTAAATGATTAAGTTTACGAAAACACAGTGACGGACCATTTTGTAGAACGTTAAATTTCCTACAAAATCAATAAAACGAAATTTCAAGTTATTAGAAGCGAGATATGAATCTTTCTATCCGATCATAAGAAAAAAATCCTCTTAGAGGTATCGACCATCCATATT